CAGTCTGACCCTTTCCACTCACAAAAGATGCACAAATGTTCTTCACCACCCCATTGAGAGGAATGAACACGCACACGCAAACATGCACACACATGCACACACAGGCAAACACACCTCTGCCCACCTCCAAAGGAAACTGCCTGTGAGTCCTTCTCTTAGAGAGTTTCCCGATCCTCATCTTCTGCTTGAACATCCCCGAGGCAGCTATCCACTGGAGAAAAGAGATGGCCCTCTGGAGTGAGGTACCCTGGGTCAGAGGACATAAGGGGGAGACGGAATTGTCTCTGAGTGTGTCTCTAGTGAATGCACACAGGCCTAGGGGTATTCATTCGGAGAGGCCAGAGAGGGGCACATTAAAGTCAGACAGATGGTGGTGCAGAAGAGAAGGAAATACAATTGGGGGCTAATAACTGTACTTACTGTGTGCCAAGCGCTGTACAAGGCTCATCCTCATTCATCCCAACTGTGGACGCTGGGTCCTGTTAACATAAACCCCATTTGACAGTTGCAGAAACACGGCCTGAGTAACTTGGCCATGGTCACACAGCCAGGAAATAATAGAGACAGGATTTGAACTGTATGCCGCCAGAGTCTAGACTGGGTTTTTATTAATGATATTTGGTAGAAATTAACAAGCAGGCCTGCAGGGAGAGAAGAGGGATGTGGAGTCTCTAAATTAAATCCTCTGCAGACAAGTGAAATCCTGGGTTACAGAATTAAAATTCCACCTCTGTACTCCTTCCTCTGTGGCCCTCCAGCTCTCACAGAGGCCAAGCTTGGGTCAGCCACAGAAGGGGGGAAGGGGAGGGGTTGGCAGGGGGGAGGGTGGGGAATAACCATATCGCCTAAGTCCTGGTGTAGGGAGAGGGAAAAGGCTGTGGAGGGGCACAGCATGGCCTTCTAAGCAGGCCCTGGAGATCCGGGAGCCTGGGCGTTACAGCAGATGGCAGGACTGTTCTGGCTCCATCTACAGATTTCTGCTGAATCTCTGTGACACAGGATGGAAGGATGGGTAGACATAGGGGCTGGGGAGCTTCAGTTTACCAATTCTGGCATACTCCACAGAGGGCATTACTTTGATGAAATGATTTTATATCTCAAAGAAACCCACCAATAACCACATATAGAGCAAAAGGGTAGTTTAGAAGCAAAAGTAACTTCTGAGCATATAGAGGCAGCCAGTGAAGGGACTGGTGACCAAAACTGTTGGCTGGCTAACCAGTATTCATTCTCTCCCCGCTTTCCCCTGAACTGTCTCAACTAGTGTGTGAAATAATAGATTCTATCACTTTTCTAGCCTCCCTTGCAGAGAGGGCTGGACACGTGTCAAGTTTCTACCCAAAGAAGTCTGCTGTGTTAGGGCCGCTGCCGTTTCTTCTGACAAAGAGACAGCACAGCTATCTGCCCTTCCTGCCCTCTTTCCTCCAGGGAGTGGGATCAAGAAGAAGGAGAGGGCAAAAGAACCAATCTCATCCACGACAGTACTGAGCGTCCGGTACCCACAAGTACAGCCTTTGCCAGGCTTCTTGTGTATGGGGGAGATAAAGCCTCAATTTGTTAGTGGTCCCCCATACTTCATAGCCTGAAATTCTCCTGACTGGCCTCATATCCATGCATGACACGTGAAGGGTGGGAGAGACAGGCACTTTATTTCACCACTCCTAAGAACTGATTTTGTAGCATTTTAACATTTAAAAAAAATGGCATGCAAACTAAAATGATCACTATTTTTTTTATTTTTTAAATAATTAATAATATTTTGGAGGTGAAAAAAGCCCATGAAAGGGATTGCTGAACCCCTCTTTTCTGCCTCCTCTAAAGGTCGTGTTGTACTCCCACTGCTCCCTGTTTGCCCCTGAAAATGGAGAGAAAGATGAAGGGTGAGTCTTCATCTCGAGGGGCAAGAGTTCACAGATTTGCTTAAAGAATCACAAATCTTAGCAAGCCTCGTTGCTAGGGAGAGACCTCAGAAAACAAGGCCCCTTTGAAATGAAAACTTAAATCATTTATGCAAAAATATATCTATGCTGCTAGTGAGTAAAACTTTTTCTCAAATTACCTTTGGGGTCTATGACATCTTGTGGTATCTGCAGTGGTTTCCAACTTTTGAGGTATTTTTTGATATCTGAAAACAGTGAAGTCACCTCTGGTAAAACCTTATGAATAATGATCAAAACAGTCTCAATGTTTTGCTTTAAATGAATGATGAAAAAAAGTATATTGCCTCCAAAAATTACTTTGAAGAATACCAAGAACTTTAGCCCTCTGCCATGGGCTTTGGAAGACCTGCTTGAGTGTTCCGAATGGCTCGAGGCCTTCTCCTCCCACTGACCTTGTCCACTGTTGCCGTCAGGCAGAGGCAGGCAGCACTGGCATCTCCCTCGGTTCTGTAAAAACTTCAAGCCACAAATACATGGGCTTTGCATTGTGTTGTCCCTGCCAGCTAAAGAAAAAACCATCAGGAGTGGATGGCATTTCTATATTATTCTGCACAGATCTCAACCCTCAGCTTTTCGTCTGGTCCAAGATAGACTCTAACCTCAGAGACAAGTGTGTTCTAGTCCATTCATTTCTGACACACATTGGGACACAGGACACAGGGACCCAGTAATGACAAAGGGGGTTTTTGGTTGCTAAAGTTGCAGAAATGATAGGTCAGATTGGGGACAGCTTCTGCTGAGGTTTTCAACCCCTGTCAGTCCCATAGGAGAGCTGCGGGAGTCTTATACCCCCTAACATAGGAAATGGCCTATGACTTCCTTTTACCTCCACCCCCACTCTCTGCCAATTTCTGTCAATGCAAACTAAAAAGAAATCGAGTTTATTTTCCAACCTGTTCTCACCAGGGCAGAGACAAGTCATGTACACACTATGCAAGACTGACTAGATTTGCCAGAAATTCACCACACCCTCCCCTCTGCTCTGGGAAGGAATGACTATCATCTAAGTGGACAGATCATCAGAGAAGGGAGAGAGATCATTTTCCTGTTTTCAGAATCTCCAGAGAGCTGTCATCAGAGCATGAAGAGTCTGAACATGGGTGGCAGACACAGCATCCTGGCAATAGACAACAAAGGCACGTGGCCACACGGAGTATGTGTGCATCTTCGATGGTGTGTGTGCTCTGGCCCCAGTTTCCCTTCTTTCATCCAACTCAAACCCAACAGCTTATCAGGTTATTTTAAAATAATGTGCAATGACAAATGTGTTACACATGCTACCTTTTGTGCTTTCCTGGCCGAGCTGCTGCCTGCAGTTAATTTTAAGAATAGAGTTCATTTTTGTTCTTTTGCAAGTGGGGTTACAAAGAAGTTTGATTTGGATCATAAGTGGAGGCACAAGGGTCTACACTGTGACCTATAGCAGAGCGGAATACATGGTCACTGACATTTGATTGACCTCAGGTTTAAACGGTGAGGCACCTCCACATAGCCCACAGATGACTCACTGCCCTGCGTGCAGCCTGTTTCGCCCTAGCTGGTCATAGCTCGCAGCACTTCTATGTAGCCTCTAAAATAACCAACTCTAAAATGCCTTAGTGAGAAATAGCTATTTTAGTGACTGTTTAGTGGGGAAGGGGAGATTCTCTCATGCCATCAGCCAGGTAAGAAAGCAGGGTCTACTCTTCTAAGCAGGCCCAACAAGATGCTCCTGCTCAGTCCCAGGCTTGGCAGCCAGTTTGGTAAGAGCTGGGTGTAGGAGCAGACTACAAACTTAAGCCGAGTTATAACCTCGCTGCTCCTATGTTGACTGTTGTGTTGTTTGCTCCTTCTGTATTTAGCTCCAGGCGTGGATGGAAAGGCAGGATATGGTCATTGTGCAGGTCTTGATTACTATAGATTAGGCCAGGACAACAATTCCCAAGCAAATTGGGAAGCTTGGTCTCCTTATCAAACCCTAATCTCGGTTCTGTCCCTCTACTTTGATCTCACAGAATCTAACTTTCATGTAATAAATCGGTAAGAAAAACCTAAGTCCAAAAGCAACAGATAATTATAAAAATCAGCACCGAATACTCAAGGTTCAAAAGAAATGTGAGGGAAACAGGCAGGCGGGCGACCTACTGACCTATCCAAACACTCTGCCCACGCCTTCTATTTCAGCTTTCATAACCCCACGATGCTTTTATTTGTGTGGAGCACTTTCTAGTTTACAAAGCACTTCACGGGCATGCCCTTCCTTAATAACACCAGGTTCAGCATCTTGACAATGGCCACACAGCAGGTGGCAGAGGCAGAACTCAATTCCAGATCTGGCCTCGCCTAGTGTTCTTCCAGCAACAGTTTGTATCCTGAACCACAAGTACCTGGGGGAGGAGAAGGAGACAATACACAGCGAAGCCAGTGCGATGGACAGAGATTTGTTGCCTGAATCAAAATTAGCTGCATAGCCAGCGTATATATTCAAAACACTTCTTTTTGCCCATTTCATCTTGAAACCATCCTGAACTAGGTAAAAACTAGTAAAAATTTAGGTAAAAAAACTGCCTATCTCCAACATGGTGCTCTGAAGAATTTTCCAAGATTCATTTGGGTGGACTCTACTTCTTCTGAGTGAATAAATGTTAGTGACAAAGAATACCAAGTGGCAGGGCCAACAGTCAGGCCCATTGCTTGTGGTATCAATAGGCCGAGTGCCAGCCGTGTTGACTGGGGACTGCACCGTCTGCTGCTCTTCCAGGACACGAATGGCACCCTCTGGGCAGTTCTGTACACCTGCAAATCTCTTTTCAGGGAAACTGGCCCTTGGTATGTTTATCCAAAAATATGATGCCCGTACCCAGAACAGTGCGCTCTGACCAAAACCCCACAGCATGCGTACTATGCCTGCACGAGATGGACTTAGGGTAAGATGGCTAATCTGGTCCTTCCTCTCCCTAGCCTGTCAAACTCATTTCTTCCTTCAGGTATTCAGATAATTTAGGCAAAAGTGAGGTTAGGCTTAAACAATGTATAATGCAAGGTTAATTTGATAAAAATGAATAAATAAAAGTTTAAAAAAATTTTAAAAATGTTGGGCTAGGGAAGCACAAATAATCCCACTAGTACAACAAAAATAGAAAAGTATCATAAGTTTTAAAGGACTAACAAATTTTTTTCTGGCTTGACAGAAGGACTGATGTTTCCAAGAAGGAATTCCTCAAACTGCCATCTGGGGCTATACTTGCTGAACTGACTCATGTTGCCAGGAGGATATGATCAGAATGCAGAATTTAGAGAATAAAGCTGTTCCCTCTTGATTCTATGAAATGCCTCAGTTTTACCCAAGTTACAAACATCCCCTGGGCTTTACCCAGCCAGACAGTTACAATTGGCATCTTCCAATGGGGTTGCTTTAAATGGGCACCTATTCCTTGAGATTGACTCGAGGCATTAGCATGGAGGAGATGCCATAGAGGCCCCCAGTAAATGCTCCTCTCTCTCTCCTCAGCTTACTAATGATGATCTGTCGTGGAGCTCCACAAAGGCCTTCAATTCTCAGCACAGCATTAGAGTTCTTCTGCAGACAATTAGTAATACGCAGTGATCCACAGGAAGAAGTCATTTGTGCCTTTAATGTTACACTTACAAAATGAAGTGAATCAATGACCATTTATGGGGGTGCTGAGGACACAGGAGATTGGGCACCAAAGAATCTGTGACATCAAGGAAGCAGGAGTTCCAACTTGAGGATGGAATGAGGACAGGAAAAGACAAAACCAAGGGTTTTGTAATTTTCTTCTTTTAGGAAAGGAAGCATCACTGAGAGAAGAAAGCAAAGGACACTTAGGTAGAGATTGGAAAGACTGGGGCTTCAAGGAAGAAGTGCTTTAACCAAACTTTCACTTTGAGATCCGCAGGAAGAGAGCGATGAAATGACTGACTCCTTGCTATGGCTGGTGAATATCCATTCCTCTCCACCCCCACCCCCTTTTTAAGGTTAACTGATAAGTCAGAAGCTGAGCCAAAAGCCTCTTTTTTGAGAACATCAGCATGATCCACTGCTTGAAACGAATATGCTGGCAAACTGTGCACCATGCTGAAGGAAAGCCACCGATACCTATAGCCAAAGTAACATGGAGACTGAACGGCTTAAATAAAAAGAGAAATGGGTCAGTCCTTAAGCATGATTTTCCAACTCCAGCTTTCTGTTGGCAGGAAACAAATGCCGTGGATTGATGGGCCTAAGCTGTGACTGTGGAGGATCAGACAACGGATTACATCTCCTGGTGTGAGAGGAATAGTGAGGAGCAGTCTCTGGGCCCGGGTGGCACTCACTGTCAACTCAGTGGTAGAAGGTGGAGCTTTCCAAACTCTACCTCCTGAGCAGGGGCTGATGGGAAAAAGGGGCAGGGTTGAGGCTTGTGGCAGTTAAACCACTTGTGAGGGGGTGTCTCTGGAGAAGCAACCAGCTGGACACATAAGACTTTGGCTTGGACCTTGGTCTCTGCTGAGTGGATGCTGTCTGGAAAGGACAGGGAGCATCTGGCCCCGAGCCAGACTGAATTTTCTCTCCTTTCTTCTCACTCCCTGTGTATACACACACAGTTATTGTTGTTTCACTGCTTTTGGGTCATATCCTGCAGCTGTAAGCATGCAGTTGAGGACTCACCAACTGGGTGATTCCCCTGGGTTTGCTCAGTTTCACTGGGAAAGACTGAGAAACTCACCACTGACTATGCCAGTTTCGGATGAGATAACTTCAGGAAGGCTGCAGTCCTTGCCAATATACCCTGTCAAGATGAACTCCATTCGTCAGAAACTTCAAACTATGTGGGTAATATGCCAAGATCAAAAAGACCACAAAAGAATCAATTCACTGATCAGAAAATAACAATGACTCTTTATAAACCGGTACGGGGTCGAAATTATTTCTTATTTGTGTGTATGTTCATTTTAGAAAGAATTAAAGAGATTCATTTCTGCATAACCTGCAGGGACCATTTCCAGTGCTTCGGGTTCTCCTTTAATGGCTTCCTCCAGCTTGTTCCGGGCAGAGCTCCCGGCATGTCAGGGATGGCAATTCTTGTAGATTCCTCACATGTCCATGCTCATATCAAGTCCAGCTGTGAACAGGGACATACAGTCAGAGGAATGCCTGGCCCACTCCAGCCCACTGTGTCTCTGGTCAGCGATTAGGGGCAATGGTCCTAATGGTTCTCTGGTGGCGGCATGAGTGTGTACACTTACTCACTTCCCCCTCTTTCAGGATTTCAATACCAAATATATCTCCTCATTACAATGCTCAGAACTTCACAGAAAGGTTGTAAGCTTTTACTGGGCAGCTGTCATGTGAAGTTTAAAGACAGCAATTTTCCAGACACAAAAGATACATAAAGGCCAACACTTCTGCAGTCCCCCAGGCAGCCAGAAATGGTGTGATGAGGAGAAGTCCCCAAGTGTCTATCAGTCTACTTTACTTATACTTACTGAGAACATTTAAGAATTAGCACTTTAAAAGGCTGTTTTTATTTGTCAGCTACACAAATTATATGTTATAACAGTTTCAGTAAATTATAACATTTTGCTACTAAAGGAACAGCCTCCTCAGCACTTTATGGTTCTTTGAAAGAGAGGATTAACCTGAGTAAACAATATAAATGAAACCACAGGGCACAGGAGTTTTCATTATGAAATCACCTATCTGATTAAATGTACAATGGCAATAAATAATAGTGTCGGGAACTTCTGGTGTGTTAGAAATTAAAACAAAAACATGAAACAAGTCTATGATAAGCAGCCTTTGTGGCTGTATTTGTAGTTCAGATGATTCTAATCATTGGAACGCCTGGTATATATTAAAAGTACTTACTAAGTCGTCCACATCACCACCTTCTTCAAATTTGGCTGCAGTATCTTCATTTGGAATTTCTTTGGGGGCCAGAAACTGTAAATAGAAAGGCAAGCATGGTATCAACATGGCATTTCCCCCCTTCTTTTGACGCAGAGTCAATCTGCTAGCATTGCCACAAGTAAGTCTACGAAGGCTTGCTTAGCAAAGTCTCCCAGCAATGCACCAAAAGAAACACTGCCTAGATGTAGTCGCCTTCATCTGGTGCTGCATGAGAGAGGATCAATTTTGAGGTTGAACAGTGCACACTAAGTAGTCACCAGAGAAAGTAAAGGGGGAGGAAATGATATGGCTTGCCAAAGTAGAGGCAGTGTCAAGTACTGTGGATACCCCACACTGCCATTTCTGTTTCTGAGCTCAAGGGGTTGACTCAACCTCTCTCCTGAACTTTTTCAGTCAAAGTCACATCACCACACTAATATCAATTTGACTGAGAGATCAAGAAATTTATCTTCTTCTAAGAACACTTATGGATCTTTCCACATCTCTTTACTGAACCTAAACTGGACTGTGTTTAGTGCTGGCAACCCATGGTCTAAGGGACAGAAAATGCTAGCAGTGGAGGTACAGTCTGGAACAGAATGGTAATGCAGCTTCAGGCTCATTAATTCTATTTATTTATTCTGATCAACTAGTGATAAAAATTCTGAGGGCCAAATAAACGAACGAGGAATTCACACATATACTTGGTTTACGTCTAAAGAGCAAACTGATTAACTTAAATTCCCAAATTAATCTTCATGTATGATTCTCCTAGTTATTATTATTATTAAAATGATTTTTTATCTTTTCTCTCCTCTTTTACTCATTATCATTAACCCCCATATGATTTTTCCCCACATCAGGAGTACATGGCTAAAGGATAAGACTTATCCAGTTGAAGTGAAGAGAATAAAAAGTAGAGCTATGCATTCACCACAAACCTTCGTGGAGTCACAAATGACTGGCAGCTGCAAACACAAAACCATGGGCTCAATGGTTCTATAGTCCACTGCCTCTTTCATTATCCCTTAGTACCTGATATATGGTAGATACTTACTGATGAATCTAGAAAATAATGTTTTTGGCAGGCAGTGTCTAAAACACCAGTTCCCCCACCCCATTCCTTCCCCATTTGCAAAGTCCCTTTCATACTGCACACTGTGTCCACAGGATATACAAATGGCACATTTCTGCATCTAGGCCAAGTTCAAGAGAGGCGCAGTGGCAAACAAACTCATTTCTATCAAGTGCTAAACATCTGCAACTGACTTTCCTGATGGATCTGTTTCACAGTACTGCATAAGCAAATTATAGCTAAAAGCTGTGCTGCCACCCATTATTCTTCCCAAAGCCCCAGGCAAGGCTGATCTCTCACACATATCACTCCTCATCATCAGAGTTTTTAACTGCAAGTAATTTCCAGGCTGTGCAGTGGCACGGAAGCTAGAAATACAGCAGCAAATTCAAGGACTAGCCTGCTTTCTCAATAAAAGCAAGAGTCTCTGAAAGCAGCAGAAGAGGGTAGGAGTCAACTCTCATTTTATGCTCTTTTTCTTTGCAGTAGGATGAAAAGGTAGAGGATAAATAGAAAGGACTTTTATGTGATACTCCTTTCCTCAAAGCAAAATCATTTGCTTGGGGTTACCAAGAAAGCACCTTCTTACCTAGAGATCTTTATGAAATGGATAAACCACTACTTTTCTTTTTTTTTTTTTTTTTTTTAATAATAAATTTTATTGTTGTATTCCCCATACAATTGCAGCCCCCCCATTCTGACCCCAATCCCTCCCCTCCCACCCCACCCCCCTAAAATGTCTCTGGTTCATAGTTTTTTGTTGATTTTGATTTTCACTTTCTTATAGTTATTCGTTTTCCTGGTCCCTTATTTAAGTTTTCTAGATTCCTGCTATGAGTGAGACCATCCGGTATTTTTCTTTTTCTTTTTGGCTTATTTCGCTGAGCATGATCCCTTCCAGCGCCATCCATGTTGCTGCAAATTGCATGTGTTTATCTTTTTTGAATGCTGAGTAATATTCCATGGTATATATGGACCACATCTTCTTGATCCAGTCATCTATTTTTGGGCATTTGGGTTGTTTCCAAAGCTTAGCTATTGTAAACAGTGCTGCTATAAACATAGGGGTGCAGGTGTTCTTTGGAATTGATGTTTCTGTGTCCTTTGGGTAAATACCTAGGAGTGGAATTGCTGGATCATATGGAAGCTCTATGTTTAGTAGGTCCAGAAATCTCCACACAGCTTTCCACAGTGTAAACCACTACTTTTCAAGTGTACTGAAATACAATCCTGGCCACAAGCAGAGAAAAGGTAGAATAATCTGTGTTGAGAGCTCCAGTCCTATTCCTCCATAGGGCTAAAGGCTAACACTCTGTGGTGAAAGCCTTATTAATCCCCAAGTTAAAAACACACGGCTGCCACTGGGCTGATTCTAACACCAACAGGTGATTCCAAAGACTCACCCATAACCCAGATGGGTCAAAATCTCAGAAAGAAGAAAAGTCTGTTTTCATGCATTTTATCTAAAATGACATACATTTCTGTTTCATTAATGTTGCCTATAATTAATTTTATACTATAAAGGTGATACAGTCCAGCAGAGAAGTCCTGCACCCCAGTGTGGGAGAACAGGACCATAATTTCAGCTCTGCCAGTTTGTCAGTATCCCTAGGTCAGCTGTTTGACTTCTCTGTAACTAATTTTCCCTAAACAAAAAAATAAATGATAATAAGGACTTCCCCGGTGGCGCAGCGGTTGAGTGCTGGGTTGTGTAGCTGCCCGCAGCCGCCGGCGAGGGTCCCACATGGCATGCAGACCTCTCCTGCCGCCCGCTGCTCCCCTCAGCAGTGTATTTCGCTGGTCTGCCTGTTCTGTTCCCAACCTCTGACTCTGGTGAATTTTCTCACCCTCCCATGCTTCTGACTGCACCCGGTGCTTGTATAAATAAATAAATAAATAAATAAATAAATAAATAAATAAATCCTTAAAAAAAAAAAAAAAAAAGCCAGGAATACTACTACTTACCATTCTATCTGATGAGGCTGTGCTGAGTCTCAGAGGGAATAATGTATACGAAAATGATTTGTGATGTCCTAGGTTTTATATTCTAACTCCCAGGAACAGACCCAACATAGGTCTACTAAATAATATGCATTTTTATTCATAACTGCTAAAGTTTGGAGAAAATCAAATGTCCAGTATTGGGACAATGGATGAATAAATTGTGGTATCATCATAAAAAGGAGTATACTACAGCTGTAATAAAGAACAAACAACTCTAACAATATGAATAAATGATAAAAGGCATATTCCAATTTTATGAATATTAAAAACAGGCAAAATTACTCTCAAGTAACAGATGTCAAAATAGATATTTTCCTTGGGGGACGGGGAGCTTCTGATGGGGAAAGGTACAGGGAGCATTCTGGGGTGTTGGAAATGTTCTATATTTTGATCTGAATGGTAGGTATCCAGATATGTGTGTAGGAATTCATCAAGCTGCACAATGAAGATATGTGCATTGACTATATATGTATGTTCCTGTGCAATAAAAAATTTAAAATTGTAACTTAAAAGTATCAAACTCTAAACAAATATAAGGTAACACTGTGATAATTTCTTTTTTTTTTTTTTCTGGCCCGAGCATATAGGATTTAAGGCAGAAAAGCTGAAAAATCAAAGGAAAATATCATGGGTTCAACAGGGGGCCAGTCGTTAGATACAACAGTTTTCAAGAAATGATTTGTAAATTTTTATCTTATTATTCACAAGGGTTTTAGGGACTTCTCACACATGTAGACACACAAAACGGTGTACTCTTTCAGGAGGGAGCATAAGAATATTTTCTTAGGTAGATGTGGTGGTTAGCAACATTCTAAAGTAGAGGCATGGAGTGCTGGAAAGTGGTCACAGTAGGATTGCAGGGGTCCAGGTTCTGCAAATTTTAGCCATGGACTTGCTATGAGACACTGAACAAGTCAACTTCCCTTCTCTAGATCACCTCTGTCCAATGAACAAGTTGCTAAATTCTGAGTATCTATCATGCTATAGTGGAAAATCAGCTAATGTCCATAATAACAAAGGTGGCTAGATTAGGTAGTTACAAGGAAAACAACTGTTAAAAAGATGATTTTTCCCTCCATAGAGCTGGTATCTAGTGACTGCTCACATGCTCAGTATCTTGGAGAAACGACTCCAAAACCATGGGGAGAAATCCTCTTTTACTTCTGGGTTCCCAATATGGAGTAAAAAGAATAAAGGACAGGGGTCAGCCTCAGACTGGATTCCCAGCAGTGACACCCTACAAGATCTCTTGATGTACCATTTTACTTCTCCATGCCCTGAATTTCTTCATCTATAAAAGAGGAATTTGGAGTAGATCACTATTTTTCAGGTACTGCTCCTTGAGGTACTGCAGGTTCTTTCTAATCTGCCACTCCCCTGACCCAACTGAGGAGCACTGCCTTTATCTGTTTTATATATCAGGCTTCCTTGCAAGTTTTCAGTTTTAAAAATAAAAACTTAGCTAGGAGATCCTTAGGATTCTTTCTAGCTGAATAAAATTCCATACAACTAAAGTCAATGTTTTCTCCTTCGTTAAGCCTTAGTTAAGCAAGTCCATGTTTAAATTCTTCTAATCCAGGACTTCTCAACAGCATCATTATGAACATTTTGGACCAGACAAGGTTTTTGGTGTGGGGCTGTCCTTTGCATTATAGGATTTTTGGCAATATCCTTGGCCTCTACCCACTAGGAGTTTGTAGCACACCCCCTGTTGCAACTACCAAAACCAGTCCACCCTTACCTCTCCCAGCCCCAAGTCTGTTACTGACTGTGGCTCAGGTCAAAAACTTCCTAGATGCTCCTGGAATGTGCCAGATAAACAGCCTCTCTTCCTAGCACCAGTGCCATGCCTTGACAATGAACTGACAGAGGCACAAAGGAGCTATGTAGAGACTTTACCAAATGTTAAATGTTAATTGCAAGTCTAACATTAAGAACTACAAAGAGAAGAAGTGAGGGCCTCCCTGGTGGTGCAAGGGGTTAAGACGCAACCTATGAAGCTGTCCGCAGCCACTGCAGCATGAGTTGCTCCCGGCCAGGGAGCAACCCACATGGCGCAGCAGAACCCTCCTGATTCGTCCGCTGCTCCCCTCAGCAGAGTACTTCAGTCAATCCGCCTGTTCTGTTCTGTCTCTGGTGAATCATCTCACCCTCCATTCCTCTGGCCTGTACCCTAGTTCTTGTATACATAAATAAATAAATCTTTAAAAAAATAGAAGAATTGAATCTTCAGGTGACAATGACATTATAAATGAATGTAAAAGAGGGATAATATTTATGTCTAGGCGCCAAACTGAAATGAGAGATAACAGTAAACTTAAAAGAAAGTGACTATTTAAACTTATGTTACAGAAGAACCTTCTATTTCTGCAGCAGGGCTGACTTAACTATATTTCTCAAAGAATCATAAAATCCACACATGAGGGAAACTGCTCTCAAGATGCACAAGTGTAAAGTTACGGTTTAATTTTCACTTGAAATGTCCATCCTTGAGCAATTATTTCCTTTCAAACCATCAATATTCAATAGAATGATTTGACAGCTTGCTAATTTTAAATAACTTATGATAAATATCCTGAAAAAATTAAACTGGACTGTGAGGCCTGCTCTTCAATCTCTCTGATTATAGTCAAAATCCTTAATCGATTATTTGGGAAATGACCAGGCTTAATATTTGCTTTGAAGGCAATGTAAATGAATGCCTCAGTGCATGAACAAAAATAATTATGCATCCCTAACTTGCCTGGAAAAAAAAAAAATAGCTGAAGCAGAATCTCACTCATCAGAGTTCTTCCCATTTATCACCTGTATGTACATTCTCCTCTTCATACCTCTCTCCCCAAACCAATAGGGGCAATTTTAAAACATTAATAAGGCAAAGGATTAAATTTTGACTCCAAAAAAAGGGTTCACATGATAATGAAGGAAACACAAAAGCCTAATCTCCAAGTCATACCAGACAGAGTACACACTGAAGTGACTCAGAACAACCAGATCTGCCCTACCATGTTTACATATTCCCTCCCTATTCAAAGAGGGTGAAATTTTCAGAGCTGTCTGAAAATACAACCAACTGAAATCAGTTCTGTTGATACTAGAAGCATGTAAGGATACCACCCCCTACAGAGTCATTAACTGAAATTCGTCTCTGCAGGTTAATTATCAGACATTAAATTCCTGGTGGCTAGGTTCTGTGTCTTTAAATTTCAAATAAGATGCTACAAGTGCAACAGAGAACAAGCCTCAGACAATTTGCCAGAAGCACATTATCTCTTCTTAGATTTATTTCCTCCCTATATTTTGGATTCACTTAGCTGTGACAGTTTTGTGGTTAAGACGTATTGCTGGCAGGAAAATTAGTGCTCCCCTCTTCCTCAAAAATAGTATTATGTACTCAAGCCTTATCTGAATGATTTTTTTTTAATGCAATGATAACTACAATTAGTGGATTGATTTATTTTAATTAGAAGGTAGATTGATCCACTTCACTCTGTATAATGGTCATTTAATTCTACGTGTCCCCCCAGCTTACCTATAGTGCCCAGTTGTGTGTCAAATACCAAACTAGAGATTGCTGTAAAGGTATCTTGTAGATGTGATTTTAACATTTACAATCAGCTGGCTGTAGGTAAAGACTGCCCACTATATCTAGGTAGGTTCATCCAACCAGTTGAAGGAATTCTGACTTAAGACTGGAACATAGGAATTCTACATGAGTTTCCAGCTTGCTGGACTGCCATACAAATTTCAGTTAGGTCAGCCTCCACAACTGCTTAAGCCAATTCCTTAAAAATCAATCAATGCCCCCACCTTACATATACACACATTCATATTCTCTTTCTCTCTCTCTCTCTCTCTCTCTCTCTCTCTCTCTCTCTCTCTCTCTGTTCTGTCTCTCTGGAGAGTCCTAAATGATATACCCCAGTTCAAAGGGGAAATATCATCATGCCATTATATACAATAACGAGTAAAAATACATCCTGCAATTACATGACAGTATTTAGTACTGAGCCCTGACCATGGCAGAAGAGGTTAAGGACACGATGGGCGTCTTATAAGACAAAAATCAGCATCTTAGAGTATGTTTCTATAATTCTAGGCTCTTACATCCTGGAAGTATGGACTGTATCTGCTCTTCAACAAAATGCTTCTGCCAGGCAAAGCACATTATAAAAGATTCTTGTATTTTCTAACTTCTCTCCCAAACAATATTATGGTTTCTGCTAAATGCCTTTGTTTTGTTGAAACAAAACAAATTTCAGGCATTTTTAATGTGACTTGAATATAGCCATAAGATGCATATTTCTAGCTCTGTTTCTATCATTCCCTTAACAGATTTCTGCTCACCAGCCCCAGACCACACTCTCCCTTAGTGTCCGTACGGTTATTTTTTTTGAGTCTCTCTTGCCTTTCTCTCCTACCTTGTAACCGGCTGTTTCAGTCCCTAGAAGATGGGGGGCTGTGTTGTCATTAATTTTCTTGTCATACAGTAGAACAGAGGTTTGGTACATGACTGCCAGCTGCCAGGTGCTATGCTAGCTACTGGCTCAGTGGCTGTAACTAAAGCTGAAGGTTATGAACCATATACTTTTGAGCTATTCTGTTTAATTTCATTAATATTTCATCACAAACCGGAAGTATAACGAAAGGTTTCTGAGCTAAATAAATAGCTCATGGATTTAACTCACAGCTAAATCAGATTTCCTACAAGTACACCAAGCAGGGAGGCCTTGGTCCACCTGTTTGTCAATATAAAGGTCATGGCACCTGCACACATGGGCTCCTTTCCTGTCTTAGCTAGAATACCAGTGTTTCTCCACCTTCTTGTTCATTACTATTACAGTAACCATGTCAGGACCCATCACCCAGACTGATAGAATCTTTGGGGAGGGCCTTGGTCATCAGTTTTATTTTTTAAAAAATAGCTCCTCAGGCAACAGTGTGTAGCCAGAGTTGCAATCACTGGGCTAAATGGATCTCACAATTTAGTCAGGGTGTTGGTCAAGCTTGGTATGGTATGTACCATGGACTTCAGGGGCTCTACAGCTACTGAAGCTCAGATCATACAATGTTCTAGAAACATTACCATAGCTTGTGGAGAACTGAATCAGATAACAATTTCTCCCGCAAGGATACTACAGTTGAAGCAATTTGCTTATTGGTTGAATAAAGAATGGTTACACTAGTTTAGGTACCTTAAAGCCTTAATTTCTTCAAGAAAGAACGGGCATCAGGAAAATAGTACCCACTGCAATAATTCATCTAAAGACATGGAATTAACCCTCAGTACCTTTTTGGCTTCCTCAGCTGTGACAGAGCTTCCAGAGGCTTCATCTTTGGTGATTAGAGTAACTCCATCTAAAAAGCAATTCACAGAGAAAAATCCAAGTATAACATTTAATACCAATCCCACCTTCCTTTCTGTTGTACCTCCTCTCATCTTTGTACTGGAGAGTTCTAAAACTATAAAGGTGCTATTCACTGTAAGAAACAGAAATCTAAAAATGAGATGGAACTCACATTGTTCCTTCCATATTATATTATTCTTTCTCCTCCTTTTGCTTGTGTAGAATAAAGGCCGCCTCTCAAATGCTACCTGTTCCATGAACCTTCCTTGATAAACTCCAGATAAAAATAATCTCTCCTTTAGAATTCTCAGATCACTGTATATTCCTTTGAAATAGTTCTCATCACATCTTACCTTGTATAACTATTTGTACATATGTTATTGCTCCTAAAATTGTATTTTTCTCTAGTAAGAGCTGAGTTTTATTCAACCACAATGTACTATACAACATTACAGAATTTCTCTGCTATCCAAAAGTAAACTATTCCAATTTTCTATGATTTGGTAGGCAATTTTTTGAGCCTAGGCACTCTGTTATTGTGAATTTATATGGGAAAAATATTTGAGGCGACCTTCACTCAAAAAATAAGCTACTAAGCCTTACCAAATAGAAACACTCTACTTTTGGATAGCCTGTGAAACCTATAAATAAATGATACTAGAATGACTACATGCTTTGGTTCAAACTCATTAGGTACCCAATATAGGGATCTGCAGGCATCTTGACTTAGTAGTGTCCTGGCTATTGATGGAATGGCAGAGGACTAAGGTTAAGAGCAAGCATGCTCTTACAATGGCTGTGTCTATCATTTAGCACAGCACATCAATTACGGTTCGGTGAAAGCAAATCAAGGATATAAAATCTACCCTTTAGTTTTCTCCTGCTCAAATGCCTGATGCATGACATCCTTTCAGAAAAGCATGTGCATTTAACATGTGCTTGTACCTAGAAATTGCATAGGTCATATGTATTCTCTTAATAGGTTATAAGCTCTCAGAAAGTATGTATCTTGTGTATGTCCTATAAGTTTCTTTTCAGCAAACAATATGCTGGAGGCATTCCATAAATACCAAAGCCAATCTCTTTCATCTACTGGGTCAGCAGTAGAGACACAAAAGTGATTTGAGTTAGCCCCATTCACCATCTTTTCTAATTGCTTTTGCTCCCAGTGTAGAAGTTAAAGGGCTGAAAAATTAACTGTCAGAGAAATGGCTGCCCTTGTGATGAGAAGCTGCCTGTTAGAAGCAGGGTAGATAGATACGCAACTCCTTTGTATGGAATTTTCAGACAGACTGAAACTAATTTGGGGTTTTTAAGTGAAAAGTTTTATGCCTTTCAACTGTTTTTACAGTATGTATTTTTAATAGCTAATATTTCATGCTTGGGTTCTTAAAGAAAATCAGGTTAAAAAAATGGGAAAAGGGCATAAGGGAAATCAAATACCAAACCTAAAATTGAAAGAATATATGGTGTATATGGTGTCTTCTTCTAGGTTTAATTTGCACTGGGTGCTAGGAATAAGTGAGGCACTAACTGCTTTTGTGCATGAAGACACTGTTCTGTTCACACAGCAAGGTAATGAAATGAAAGGCAGCAGGAGCGCAATGAGAGAGAGAGGGCTGTGGATCTAGGTGGATGAAAAGGGTCTACGAATTTGAGAAAAAGGACAGTGTTTACCCACATACTTTATTCAACAAACAGAAGTGCACAATCTTGGAAATGGGCAATGCTGCACAGAGTTTAAGATGGATAGACATAAATGCTTATTATTTATCACTTTGTATATGATTATTAAACAAGATTTTTAGCTCAATGAATCCTTAGCACTTCCCAAATCCACTTTGGAAGTCACTAGATATCCATATAACATCACACAATAAAATTTATATCTAGAATTACAGCTCTATTTAGAAAATAGTATAATTTGGAGAAAAAGACAAATGATACCTTACCCTGGATGACTATTTCCCAGAAATGGTTTAATTGTTTCATTTCCACTTTTTCTCGCAAGGCTTTCAGGAAGTCGTTAAAGCGCCGCTCTTCTGAAAACTGGTGACATGTGGGGTAGAGGAGTTGGCAAGTCAGAGCAAATACAAAAACAGTCATTCCCAGACCAAAGTGCTACATATTTTGAACCCACCATAAATATTATGAAAAATATAAAAAATATTCTTCTTTGGTAAATGGAAAACTTCCACTTCAAATTTCAGTATTGTTTGCTGGGAACCAAAACCTTTCCTTGTGTGGAAAGGAGGCATAGAACTTCCCAGAGTCATCACCCAGGTTTTTTTTTTTTTGGCAGCCCAGTAGCTAGTTTTTTAACTCTTAACAGACAAATTTGAACAAAAACAGAGACAATAATGTAGTGAATCCTTGTGTGTCACTAGCTTCAGTAATTATCAATTTGGTCAATCTGGTTTCATCTCATCCTAACCTTCTACCACACACACAACCAAGTTTCAATCACATTATTTCATTTAAAAATATTTCAGTTCGCAACATGGAAAATATATGCCTCTTAAAAAATATTCACAAAATGCTGATTAGTAGAAATGGTAAAAGAAGATATTGGAGAGTTAGAAGCATGGATTTGACTTAACTGCTTGGGAAGACTGGTTTTATTAATTTTGCTATAATAGCATTCTACTATTTTTATATTAGAATATATTTAAAAATAGTTTTTTCTCATTTTTATAGTAAAAATGATCTCTATATGATTGGCAGGTCTCTAAAATCCTTTTATTCCTTCTCTATCTCTCCTCTTTCTCAAAGAAATCCAGTGTCCTGGTAATAGTGCACAGAACAGTCAGCAGACACTCCATTCAGCTTGGACAATGTTTAAGAAGCATCTTTGTATTTTCACTACCTTTTCCATCTAACCGAATCTTTCTCTATCTGACTCATTCTTAGCCTTATATTAACTCTATTTTGATAAATTTTGTCTTTATCTATAACTTTTTTTTTATGTAGAGCATTTGGGTCATCTACTTTTGACTCTTACTCTATTCTGATTTTAACAATTTCCTCATTTTCTTATCATTCATTATAAGTATCTAAACTATTCAAAAATTTAATTTGCTCATACATTCAGCAAATATTTAATAAGCACCCATATAAGAACCAACATAGACTACAACTATACTTACTTGAAAGATATATTTTATAATTTAAATCTGATCACCCTTGCCTAGGGTCTATATACACAAAAGTCTAGAAATAATAAAACAATCAGTAAGACTTTTTGAAGTTTTTCCTAAAAATTCCCAATAAACAAATAATAATAAAAGATACACAAAAGTTGGGTAGGAGTATTGAGTAATTAATTTTCAGAGTGCTTTATTTTTTCTGGCATTCAGATCCCTACTTGTGTCTCCATAAAAATTATAACAATATGTGTTTCCTATTAATTTTCCTAATACTTAGTCCATCCTTTATAATGACTGGGCCTCCAGAGAATATAATGCAAGTTTTCTTGGGTTCCTAAACAAGTGCCATACAGTCACACTATAATGTAATGAAAAGCTAACTTCCAGGCATGAAACATCTCCTTAGCCACCCACCTTTATTCCCTCTCAGAAATGAGAGTAAGTGTAAAATGAATTGGTCATTCCTACTTCTCTTGGCATATATTGTTATTCAGAATCATTATTTCCAGAGCCTGGGCTTAGCTGTGTGCGCTGTATGCCTCTCCCCTGTGACAGTGGTCAGTGCTTTAGGAAGCAGAGATGGGCGAGGATAGCTTTACCTGAATGGCTTCTTCACGGAAGACTTTAATACAGTCCATGCTCTTCATAAAATAAGGTGTCTCATTAGTATCCAAAAATTGCTCAATGCGATTTATTAGTTGGTGACTCACTAGAACATAAGAAAATAAATTTATTTTCCTTCATTTGAGCGATGCTCATTAGAGAGTGCATGCTTCTCTGTGTGTGCATGTGTGCTTGTGGTGGTTCAACACTCTCATGGGTTAAAAAACTAAACAAAGTATTTTCTAATATAATATCTTGCAGCAAGAGAAAAATATTCTTGGTTTGCACAAAAGCTATGCTTCTCTTAAGGGGGTGGATGTGAAGGGGTGATGAGATGTAAAATGCTGATCCAAGAAATTTGGGCTGTATTTACTCCTATTTGTCAAAACACAAAATTTTCTCAAATGCTAAGAATTATAGTTATAGAATTTGGGATTACAAACACAAAACTGTTGCTTTTAAAAAACAGTGGTTGCCTTTTATTTATCCCTCAGAACTTAGGGATGACCTGAGTAAGTCACAATTCTCTTTGTTGATATTGTCATAGGAAGTAGATAATCTAGGCCCTCCCCTAATTCTGCTCATGATAAGTGGCAAACAGTGCCAGACAGTGAAAAGTAATAAGCCAGGGGCACCCCATCTTTTACCAATCCAGGGCAAATTAGAAAGGATCTGTCCTAGTCTTAATTTAATAATGTCCTTTTAAAATGGGAAGTCACTGCTACTTGTCTTCTGCCCTTAGCTGAAATTGAATCACGTCTGCTGCTCAGCACTCCATAGGTCATGATACTTAATAAACAATTAACTGTCAGCAAGCAATGTCATAAATGCCACAGGAGGAGGAAGTGCATTCATAATGTCACTTCCAAGGTGGGATACAACTTGAGGCTGCCTCATAAACAAAGAATATTTCAGTATGAAAAAAAAAATCAGAGGAAAATAGAAACAAAATTAGGAAACATAAGTTGCTGAGCAAATAAAAAAAAGGCCTTGACAATTTTGTCCCAAAAGGACAAACCCAGGAGGTACGAGCACACCTGGCCTGAAGGCTCACTCTCCTTGTCCCCAAATCACTAACTGGCTGTTCAGCAATTTATGCTGAATGGTCAAGATTTTCTAAGACTCATGCTCACATAATCAAGCCTCATCTGAGCACTCTAATAGTCACGTGTGCACATGATGCTGATGAAAACTATTCAAGCTCACCTCTGAGGGCTAATGGCCCCTAAATGAATCAGGGGCCAGAGCATTCCTCAATGCCTCATGAAAGACATGAAATTTGGTGCCACTGACTCATTTTCTAAGGACCTTGCAGCACGGGGAAAGGATTAAAAAACTGGACAAAGTATTTTCTGATATAATAATTTTGCAGTGAGAAAAATATACCCCGTAACTATTTCATCTCTTAACTACTAACTAGAAGATTATGATTTCCATTATTATAAAGTACTTAACAAATATGAGGGATTAAAGACATGACTGCTTGCAATTTCAGATATCTTTACCAATACATCCTACAGCAGTGAATTAATACCCAGCTACAACTCAAAAGACAGAAGGAATGTTCGGATGGGTCTTTTAAAATAATACAACCCTGATTAGTAGGCAGAACAGAAAATCAACAAGAAGCTCAAAGCACTAGAAGCTATCTGAATTTTTCAGCTTGGAAAGACACAGGTAACAGAACTATTTGATATTTCCCATATCACTTATAGCAGTCATTTTCTCTGATCATTTGATATAAAGTTCATTCAGAGCTATATATCTGAGCACAATTAAGAACCTATACAGGCCAAGGACTGTAATCTCAGGTACTCCAAGTTTCTGATTTCTTTTGAAATGAGAATAAGAAATCTTAGAAAGTTATAATGTAAATGTTTTCCTTTACCCGATTTAGTGATTACTTTCATTAACTTATCCCATATATATTTATTGTATAACTGCTACCTATAAGACACATGCTGTTTTCTGGGACATATAATTAAGTTGAATATTGTTGCATTTGAGGAGTTAACATTTTAATAAGGGATATATAACATATATGCATACAAATAATAATCAGAGGGAAATGTGAAGAGGGCTATATGAGTAGGTTGAAAACTTATCAACTGACCCAAGTTTTTAAGAACCTTTGGTAATTATATGAAGCCTTGATGAATTCATACGGCTTTTTAGAAGGCAATGGAAACAGGACTTAGCCATTATATGGCCATGAACAAAAGAATGAAGAACAGATATGGGATAGCACAGTGTTTCTTTGAAGAAAGGCAAATGGTCCAAAACAGAATCCTTTTCCTAAAGGGGAAGAAAAAGGAAAAAGGAGGAGTAAGAATTAAACATAAAGAGGTGGTTGGAAGGGAAGGGAGTTCCATAAAGAAAAACAAGGTATGTGGGTGTTGAGGTAGGCTAGAGCATAGCTCCTTAGAAAGTGTGGGGGGGAAATGGGTTCAAGGTCAACTCTATGAGGAACTGTAACATTTAGAGGTTAGATAGAGGGAAGAGGACTGATGGAAGGCCACTAGGAAGGAATGGGCAGGGTGACAGGAGAAAACCAGAGGGCATATGGGTCACAGACAGTAAGAGAAGAGGTTATTTAAAGAAGAGATTTGTCAACTGTGTCCAAACTATTACATAAAGATTACAAAGAAAGGCATATAATGAGTACAGGAATGAAGAACTGGAATTTAGGGAGTCCTCTGACCAGGAGCCAGCAACAAGAGTGCTGAATTGCTTTGGAAAAAAATCAACTCCTTAACCCATTTGATCTTGATATGTGATAGAACAGATCCACAGTTGCCATTTAGTCAGAGGCTCAATAACACTCATTAGTTAACTAATAGAAAAAATGGCCATTGGAAGGGCCATTCATCTCAGAAAATATTTTTTAAAAGACTAAAATAGGAGGGAGGGCGGAGCAACATGGCGGCGAGGAGACGCTGCGAGTAAGATCTCCCATTAAAAAAAGTGAATAGGGAGGAAAAGCGGCAGGTCCCAGTGAGAAGTGGGACACGGAAGATAAACGGGTGACGCCAGCAAACTGCCCGAAGAAGAAAGTGGCCATAAAAGAGGACTAGAAGGGAGGGAAGCGCAGAACCCTGCTCCCCTCCCCCGCCCACAGAGGCGGCACTCTCCGACCGGCAGAGGGGAGGAAACAACAAACCAAAACGGCCAACAAGAAAAACGGACGCAGCAAGCGGGACTGTGAGTGGAAAGGAACTATTTCAGCCACCACACCCCGTGAACGGGAGCTGTGGAGAACCCTGCAGGATCCGCCGCGGCGGTGAGGGAACGGCTCCGGGCGCCATTAGAGAAGAAAACAAAGACCCCGGGAGACGCGCACACAGCCGGGCTGCGGTAAGCTTGCGCGGATAGCGGCGCGCTCGGCGCGCTTGAAAAGCAAGTGCAGACCAGGATCGCGGCTGCCCAGGTCCCGCGCCTGCGACCTAGGCTTGGGAGACGACCTAGGCTTGCGGGAGGCGGGAGGTCCTCACTGAGGTGAAGGTCCCTCCCTGAGTGAGCAGGAACCAGGCGCCCAGGCACGGGAGCGGTGCAAAAGGCGCCCTTCCCGCACCACTGAACTGGGCTACAGCCCGCGTCCTGGAACTGAGGGCTTTGGAACTGAGACCCGGGGCACGAAATTAGGGGCGTGGGTTCCCCACAACGGTGGGGCACAAGGCAGACACAGCACCCCAAAGCCGTTGAGGTGTACCCTACCATCCCCGCTTTGCTCCCTGTCCCACGGCGTGGAAAATCAGCTCCCCAAGGGCTCTAGGAGAGATCTTTGGCGCCACCTAGCGACTTGAAGCCAGCACAGGCTCCTGAAGGAACTACTGGCCAGCTGGGGAGTTAGCCCACACCCAGCCCCTTCCGAACAAGTAGTCTGAGCCCACAGGGAGAGCGAGCACCCACAGCCAGGGCAGACCAGGCACGCAGAAGAGTGTGCCTGACACCGGACGCGCAGGGAGTGTGTCCCGCATCACCATTTTAGAACAGGGACATTTCTTCAGTAAAGACTACCTGCAGAAGGCTTCCTCAGGAGCCAGAGGTGAGCGGGGGAAGTTCGCCCACGCCAGACCCCCTCTGGCCTGCAGTCCAAGCCCAGAGGGGGAGCAGGAACCCACCGCCGGGGCAGACCAGGCGCACAGGGGAGTGTGTCCCCACATCGACATTTTAGGACAGGGACCTTTCTCCAATAAAGACTGCTTGAAACTGACAGATGACTCCAGGAGGAACCAGAGGGGAGAAGAGAAGCCCACCCAAGATGCCAGCCAGTCCCAACAACACAGTGTCCCAACGCATACGGCAAATTAGAAAACAGACAGTAGGGAGGAGAAGAACCACACGCAACCTAGCAACTCTCCAGAGAAAAAGCACACCCACAAAAAGAAAACCAGCCCCCAGATTGCAACGACAGTAACTTGGAAGAACTTCTGAGCCTTCCAGAAAGAGAATTTAAAATTGCCGTGATTAAAAAACTGACAGAAGTCATAAAGGAAAACAATGATAAGGGAAAAAATAATCAACGATCAGAAGAATGAAATTGAGTCCCTAAAGAGGGAAGTAAAAGAAATGCAGGAGATCAAAGAATTAGTGGAAGAACTAAAGAATTCTGGGAAAAGCAATGAAAGCAGAATTGATGAAATGGAAAGAACGGATAAGTGCTCTTGAAGACACAGAAATAAAAAGAACCAAAACAGAAAAGGAAAGAGAAGTACGAAGGAAAAAGAATGAAGAAAGACTTCGGGAACTATCTAACTCCATGAGGAAAGGAAATATAAGAGTTATAGGAATACCAGAAGGAGAGGAGAGAGAAGTAGGAACAGAGAAAATATTCAAAGAGATAATTGAAGAGAACTTCCCAAATGTGAAGAAGGAGCTGAAAATTGATATACAAGAAGCAAGAAGAACACCAAACTTCCACGACGAAAGAAAAAATACAGCAAGACACATAATAGTAAAGCTCCCAAGAATCCAGGACAAGGAAAAAATAATGAAGCTGGCAAGAGGGAAGAAACAGATAACATTCAAAGGAAAGCCAATCAGGCTGACATCAGACTTCTCCGAAGAAACACTACGGGCAAGGAGAGAGTGGAGGGACATAGTCAA